CTATTCCATAGGATTGTTGAACACAATTCTAGCCGCATATATAGAAACCTTGGTGCTCATAATTAATGAAGTACCCGCAATTTTTGTGTCCACCCAATCGTACTCTATTACGCCCAACTGGTTTCGAAGATTCAAATAGGCCTTCACATCAGCGTCGACGGGCTCATAGTTATCGATCTTCAGGGGAACATGAATATAATATTTAACATATTCTCTCCTGTGTCTATTGGCTTCCCTCTCTTTCTTAGATAAGACGTGATAAGGCATATGGACCTCATCATGATTAACTTTTCTGCTAATATTTGATAAGAAGTTTTCTAATGAACTAGATGAAGAAGTTCCTTCCTCTAAAGTGTTCTAAAATACCATTTCAGAGTCAGAATCGTCAAATAAATGTATGATTTCTGGTTCCAAGTGATTGCTACTAAGAGAGAGGGGGGGTATGAGAATCAAGGGATATCCCTATTATATAGAGGCAGGTAAAATTTCAACTTCAAAATCACTCACTAGGTCAACAATATTATCATCCTGTCTGGAAATAGGAAATGATAAAAACAAAAACTTGAGTTAGGATGGTACCTGGTTGTGTGAGATTGGTGAAGCGGGAGGAGAGGAAGAAAGGCAAAGGCTTTGAGCAAAACATTGAAAATTAATTCTAATATGGAAGAGGAAACAAAGTCGTTTTCTGATAAAGTAACTATAAGATTGAATGCTAAGGGTTGAAAAACTTTCACGCACTCAAATCCTCCTATTTATAAGCAGTTACAACTGAAAGATTCAGACTAACTAAAGAAATAAGTCACAAGATCAACGACTAGATTTCCTCATGAAATACAAGCCAACTCGAGTGCACTGTAAATTGCATCATGCCCTAGCTAGTTATGTCACTGGACATATTAGAAAAGGCTATGAAACATTTTATTGATGGAACTGCATTTAATGCGTTTATTCCCCACTACTTTTTCAACTGATTCCAAGCGTTTATGTTCTATTTTGCATTCAAAAATATCCTAGAGGCCAACAAACATCACTTAAGGATTCCCCCTGCCTTCTTCAAATCCCGACAAAGCCTTAGGGGCACTTATTCTAGGTTGGCCAAATGCTCAAATGACTAAGACCCAATCAATCTTAAATCCACTCCACTTGACCCAATGTATAAAATCAGTTCACACGCAAAGAGCAATGTACATTCTCTGATCTTCACTTTTCACTACATTCATCTTGAATCTTGACATGACTTGAACGTTGGAATGCTAACCATGCAGGTCCACCCCGCGCCGCCGTAAAGGATATTAACATTACTGTTCAAGATAATCATACCACCAACTGCATCTATTTCTAGTTCTTGAACGCAACAAATTCATTTATTTTAACCTAATTATGAAACTAATACCTTTATTTTAAATCTATAAAAGATTTTGTTCATTTTATTATATTTTTGCATTCAAAATGGACGATAGACTTTCTTTTTTTTTTAATGAAATTTCATTATATAGAAATTTTTTTCTTTAATGTGACAAATCAATAATATAAGTGACACTCATTAAAAAATAAATATATCTTCCATTTTAAGTGTAAAAATATGAAAAATAAAATAAAATAACTTAAATTCAAAATATTTAAATTATTGTTGTGAATCAGCTCAAATCAAGAATAAAAAATATAGTTAAGACTATTTTCAATGGATTAACTATTTACAAATACGTAAACAATAAACAATATAAATTACATTTTTCTACTAAAACTTTCAAAAGAAATTATAATGAAAATTTAAGGTGATAATATAGAACAAATTCTCTTAATTTCTTTTTAAAAAAATTACATTATTATTATTCTATATTGAAATCAAAGATTGATGCAAATCAAGCGGTCTCGAGTTTCAATGTAGAGAAGTAAACTTCCAGTACAATGAAATGAGAATGAATTTACAAAGTTAGTACTCTAACATCCAAGTTAGTGAATGAATGAGAAAATAGTTTGAGTGTGTGAACGAGTTAATATTTAAAATGGCGTGTTTTGTATTTTATGTAAGACAGACAGTTAATATCATGTCCATGAGATCTGACACCTTATGTGTGTGACCCTTCGATCATATCCAATGATGGTAAATGTGCTAGAGAGCAGAATCTCGTACCCTCAACTTGGATGAAGTCTCACCTGTTAAAAGCGTCTTTTTATGTGATACATGATATTGGGCATTTCATCATGGGCTTTGCGAACGAACCAAAACAATTTCCCTACAAGCCCTTGTCTACAAAAGTTTGATATGCTTTTCTTTGGGCGTGAGAATCATCACGACTTTGTCCATTATAAAAGAGTTTTTGTTAGGTTGAATTATATGGATGTTTATATGAACCAACGTACGTCTCAATTCTCATGCAATGTAGAACTATTTTGGCCATCCTAAAATAGTTTCCTCCATACATATGGGTATTCCCCCTCATTCTAACGTCAATATTTTGGTCGACTCACATATGCGCCACTGCGGCTATGATATGTTGTCTGCTTTGAGTATGATAGCTCTCACAAACTTTGTCCTTTAAAATAATTGTCTCATTTGATTGAGGTGTGTTCTGTTAGCCTCAATTCTCATATTTTTTAAGTAAAAAAAAATAGGTCATAAATTTTTTCAAAATATACATTTATATTTTCTATTATCTTTAAGACTACAATAATGAAAAAACAACAAGAAAAACAAACAACTTTATATTTGAATCCTTATTTTTTATTTATTTATGATAAACAAACTATTTATTCATTTATAGATAAATTGTAGTTAATATATTAGATTGATATTATATAATTTAATATTTGGCTTAATTCATTTTTTAGTCCCTTAATTTAATTTATGATTTCACTTAGGTCCCTTATCTAATAAACGTTACATTTTAGTCAATCAAAAACTATTCCGTTAACCAATTTAGTCCATTCCGTTAACTTTTAATATTAAATATCTTAGGTGAGACACTATTGTTGAGTGTCTACTATAAGCTTCATTATTTTTTTTTATAAATTTTAACCATTTAATCTTTTTGAAGAATTGTACGCTATTGGATCTTGACAATCTATTTATTATTCTAGTACATCATCAGCGCCTAATATTTTTTTACATATCTTCATCTTCTTCCCCTTTCTTCATCTTCATATTCATCACCATCTTCATTAATCTTTACCAAATTTTCAGAAAAATTAAAATTTTGGAATACTTCTCTAATTTTTTTTTTCAAATCATAAAACTCAATTTATGTTACAATTACTTAATATCCAATTTATAAACCTTAATTTTGTTATCATGTTAATCATTATCACACTAATCCAAATTTTCTAACAAAGGGGTTGTTGCTTATGACGTTGAAGACCATTTTTTTAATCTTATTGTTCATCTTCTTCGTGTAATGGTGTTAACAATAAAAACAAAATTTATTTTGGGTTAGATTTGACTTTAATTTAGGGTTCTTCAAATGGGTTTGTGGAGAAAATTTGTAAAAAATATGTAATTGGTTTCAAAGAGGGTTAAGTAAATAATCTTGAGTTCTTCATATGGTTTGCATTCAAATGAGTTTGCATAGAAAATAGAGAGAAATAGAGAGAGTAGTAGTCATGCTTACTAAATTAGATATAGATGATTTGTCAAAGAATGTGAAACACTAGAAATTATTTTCTCTATTATTTTTTAATTGCTAATCTTAGTTTTACTTTTTTATTTATTTAATGGATAATTTTAGTTTCACTATTTTTTATTGGGTTATCTTGAATTTTATGGAGTTTTGTTTAATTTTATTTTTTGTGATTTTAATTTTGTGGAAGGATAGGTGTATAAATTGTTGGTTATTATCGTATTATCAAAATTTGATAAAAAAAAATTCTGAAAATTTATGAGATTTTAATGAATATGGTCATGAAGAAGATTAAGAAGAAGGAGAAAGAAGCTAAAGATGCCTAAAAAGAATTAATTGTTGATGATGCCCTATAAGTATTAATAAACTCTCAAGATTCAAAGATGTAAAATTCATCAAAAAGATCAAATAATTAAAATTAAAAAAATAATAAAGTCTATGGTAGACACTCAACATTCACATAAAATATTTAAAGTTAAAAATTAATAAAAAGGACTTAAATGACTAACAGAAAAAATTTTAAAGGACTAAAATGTAACGTTCATTAGATAAAGGATTAAAAGTGAAAATTTAAATTAAGTTATGGGACTCCAAGACCAATAAAGCCTTAATATTTTTATATAATATTTGTTTATTTTATAGAAATTTCACTCTTGTTAAGTCTATAAAATATCATATGAAATAATTAATAGAATAATATTTAAAATATAAAAAGAAATATTTTTTTAATTAAATCAATGTTTTCAATGATAAATTAATAAAATATTAAAATAATTAATTAATTTTCTATTTATATTTAAAGTAGTACTTCCTTCCTCTCATAAAAATATTTCAAAATAATTATCTCTTTATTATTATTATTTTTATATTATTTTACTTTTATTTATTAGTTTTCACTTTATCCAATAAATAATATTAATTTTATAGAGGGAGTAATAATGATTAATGTGTAGAGTAAATAATTAGTTTGGATTATTTAAATGAATGATGGGAATAATAATTAACATAAAATAAAAGAAATTAATGAGCAACACCGTTGGTTTGGGTGGACCAGGGTAGAAATGGGTTTGGGTTTGTTTGTTTGACGTGAATTTGAATTGACTCACTCTATATTCCAAGGCTGTAACTTGAAACAAACCAGGTTCCAAAACAATACTCTACTACAGCTACAACAATCACCTAAGGTATGAAATGCTTCTCTTGTTAATTTACTCTATTAATTAAATTCAACAACAATTCACATCTTTCCTTCTACTTTCCTCTTTCAGAATCTCTTTAATTCTCTAATGTAACCCAAAAACCCAAACCAACTTTTGGATTTGGCTTTTCGTTTCTCTTCTCGCGGTGACTTCACTTTTGTTTTCTCAACAAGACGACGGCAAGATGAGCTGGAGTAGGGTGTTGAAATCGGCGCAGGCACTCGCGGCTCATACTTTTCTCATCTGTTTCACTCTCTTGCTCCTTCTCAAGCTTGATCATCGCATCTCTTCCTCTTGGTGGTTAGTTTTCGTTTTTATGCTTTTTCGAGACAAAGGCTTCATGCTGTTGCACAAATCACTCACTGCTTGGAAAATATATAGGGTTTCTTTGGTATAATCACATGCAATGTCTCATATCTCTTTTCTGCTCTCACCTAATTATTCAATTACCTCTCCATACACTTTTGCCACTGCTCTATTTCTAGGGTTCCCACCTATGTTGATCCTACTGTGAATTGATTTCTATAAATGTGATTTTCTTCTGGGAAACACTTATGTTATGTCAATATTGCATGGGTAGGGGTATGCTTTGGTAACGGATATTGATTTGGTACCGAGTACAACATTTTTATTACTGCTCAGAAAATTTTCAATTCCAGATTGGAATCAAGAAATATATCTACATAGCTAGAAATAGGGAAAGAATATGTACATAGTGGGAAAGGTTCTACAAGGTAATAAGGAAAGTATCAACATTATTAATACAAGGAATGATGTAAACATAGTTTTATTTATTTATTTATTTATTTATTTTTATAATTTTTACTACGCGATGGTAGCCGTTAATTTATCTGACTAGTACAGTCCCAATTCCTAAAGAGTGCCTATGTGTATCCAAATTGAGTACACAATATTTTTGGGTACATACATGATCAAATACCCATGAGTATTCAACACGTACGGAATACACGTATGGACTGAGTTTTGAAGTATTTGTGCATCATAGTGCAAAGTACGAGCGGAAAATGTTGGTGGTTTATTTGCCTAAAGGTTGTTCAAATAAAATGTAAAAGGATTCCTGAAGAAAAGGGGGGAAATTAGTTTGGTTGGTTGTGTTGTCTAAAATTTGTTTATGTGGAAATTTTGTGATAGTAAATTATATGTGGAAATTGCAGTATGTATTGGGTTTTAAGATGTTGATTATAAATCACTGATTTCAGCTTTTATATACAGGATGATATTTTCTCCTCTTTGGATGTTCCATGGCGTTGTGGCTCGAGGAAGGTTTTCATTACCTGCGCCCTCAGCTCCACGTAATCGACATGTATGTCAATTTGAGTTTTTGTTTTGTTAATGTGGATATCGGGCCATTGGACTTTTAACCATGAATATTTGTATTTCTTTTTGGCTATCATGGATAAAACTTCAAATTTAGTTTTTTGAATCTTTATTTCATCTCTTTTTTATCAATTACTATTATCATGTTTTCCCCCTGTTAATGAATATTATGCCAAGTAAATACAATACTAATTTTCTATGTTGTAACAGTGGGCGCCGTGTCATGCCGTTGTTGCAACGCCATTACTTATTGCGTTTGAATTGCTTCTTTGTATATATCTCGAGAGCTTATATGGTACTTTTCTACTCTATGCCTTTCTGCTTTCATAATAATTAATAATTTTCAAATATTTTAATCAATTCAACACGTATCTCATTTTTCGTGCACAGTTCGTGGCTTTGCAGCAGTAGATCTGAAGATTGTGTTCCTTCCTTTATTAACATTTGAAATCATTATTCTCATTGACAATTTCAGGTAATTTCTTTTGGGTTGTTCTCTGCCTTTTTTCTTTATCTACTTGAAAATGTTCTGATCTCAATCATTGATGCACACAATGGGTTTGTTGTGGTATGCTTTGTTTATAAAGCGATAAATGCGGAGCCCTTCAATCTCAATGTTTGTTATCTGTGCAGAATGTGTAGAGCTCTAATGCCCGGGGATGAAGAAAGCATGAGTGACGAAGCAATATGGGAAACTCTTCCTGTAAGGCTTTACATGTAACTCTTTTGATCTTCCATTTTCTCATTTTGTTGAAGCTTGAACACTAAAAATGCTTTTCATTCTGTTTATTGTAGCACTTTTGGGTTGCCATCTCTATGGTTTTCTTCATTACTGCTACCATCTTCACACTCCTAAAACTGAACGGTAACTCCTTTTCTTCTACTGTTCAATAGATGGATATTTCTTTTCATATATTCCTTAGAAATTCTGTCATTATCAATTTTTAATCTCGTGATACTAATGTTGTGATACAGGTAGTGTAGCTTCTCTCGGTTGGTGGGACTTGTTTATTAACTTCAGGTAAGTTTCTATCTTAAGCGCTGAAATGTACTTATAATTAGCTTTGTGTTTATTAGATTGTTGACTTGAATTATTCGTATCTTATTCTTGCAGTATTGCCGAGTGCTTTGCGTTTCTTGTATGTACAAAGTGGTCGAATCCTGTCATTCATAGAAGTTCCAGAGAACCGAGTTCTACTACTACTAATACTACAGTTAGATATCTTGACTTGAACAGTGGTTTAATGGTTTCTTCAGAAGGGGATCAACGACAGGCGAGAATATGTAGCCTGCAAGACATAGGTGGTCATTTCATGAAAGTGCCGATTATTGTATTTCAGGTTCTTCTCTGCATGCATTTAGAGGTACGCAATGATATGCTGAATTGTGTGCATAGCCGACCTCGGAAATTCATATTGTATTTGGAAACCTGAGCTGTTTTGTTTTGCATTTCAGGGAACGACTGCATTTGCTTCACATTTATCTCTTGCCGTTCTTTTTTCTCCCCTTTTCGTACTGCAAGGTGTTGGCGTGCTGTTATCTGCATCTAAATTTGTGGAGAAACTTGTGCTTCTTCTACGAAGCGGAGCTGGTGGAGGATTTTATTTTAGATTCTCTTCAAGAGCTCACGATTGCTTGGGGTTCTTGCACCATGGTTCTCGGTAATTAATCTTTATTGTTATCATTACTAGAGAAAATTATAGGTTCGAAATACATTTCTTGGTCTGATATAAAATTTTCATTCTATTCCCATAATCTTTACTCTTTTTGACTCAATTCTGAATCAGAAATCTTGTTGAATTACCATATGCATGTCGTTTTTGAACTAAATCTGATATGAAAATTCATGGAATGGAATCAGATTATTAGGCTGGTGGTCGATCGATGAAGGAAGTCGGGAAGAACAGGCCCGATTGTACCATGAGGGAGCATCTGGGTAAGCATCTTTCATTTACAGTCTGTGTGTACCGTCAGAATAATGTGATTTATATGTTGTCTCATATTTGGTTTCTCAATGCACAGGTATAATACATTCAATGGTTACCCTCCTGAGATTGTTAAGAAAATGCCTAAAAGGGATCTTGCTGAGGAGGTAATGACAGTTCCTACAACATAAATAGACCACTCTACGGTGGATTCTATTCATGTCGATTACACTAATATGTTCAATATTAGTCGCAAAAATTCTCATTGAGGCACAAGAACTATCTGATTTTCGCCATTGACACGCATAAAATTTTGTAATGTCAGGTGTGGAGACTCCAGGCTGCTCTTGGCGAGCAGACGGAAATTACAAAATACAGCCAACAGGAATATGAAAGACTTAAAAATGTAAAAACTCTAACTTCTACGGGTCATTTGTAGTCATTTCTTTGTCTTATGTAATTTCCAAAGTTGCTAACGAGTAGATCAACAACCAGTATAGAAGATTAAAGAGAAACAAAAGTAAAAGACACTGAACATGATCGATCTTTGTTAATGTAGTTCGACCAACTTATATGTTTCATATCTTGTTTGTATCAGGAGAAAGTGCTGTGCCGAATTTGTTTCGAAGGAGAGATAACTGTTGTATTGCTCCCATGTAGACACCGTGTCCTTTGCAAGTAAGAATAACATAACATAAAAGTATATGAAGATCAATGATACAACTTGCTACATTTCATTCATAGCTCATCCTTATGCTAATTTATTTGCATGGATGAACAACTGCAGCTCATGCTCAGAGAAGTGCAAGACGTGCCCGATGTGCCGCAACTATATCGCAGAGCGCTTGCCCGTATATGATGTTTAGGTGTTAACTTGACCAACTTTTGTATACAAGACCATAGGAGAAAGTGACTAAAGGAAAGTGAAAAAATGTTAATACTTGGTATATTTTTTGTTGTCACATTAATTCAGTGCCAACTTTTTTACTAATTTGTATATATATGATAGATATTTTGAGGGTTTTATGAATTGTAGTCTACCCAACTTTTTATCCGGGTCAATCAAGTGTAAAAACTTGGCTTCAATTTCAAATGATACACTACTATTTTGCAGAATTGGATTGCCATTTGAAAATGTTTCAACTTTCACTCAGATGCAAGGATTGACAATTTTTTTGATAACTATGTTGTTAGTGTGATGTATCGTTTTTGTCGATGACTAATCTTTACCGGAAAACCCTGGTTGACCATCTTATTAATATCTATTGGATTTGACTAAATCTTTACTGGAAAATCCGATTGACCACCTTACTAGTATCTATCGATTTTGTGACTATTCTTTACAGAAAACCCTGATTGACCACCTTACTAGTTAGTATCTATCGTTTTTGTTGATGACTAAACCGGAAAACCTTGATTAGCCACCTTTAGTAAGGATCCTTTAACTAAACCATTATGTATAAGCCTTCTTTCACTAATCTTTCACAATCTCAAAATAAGACAAAGAACATGTATATAATATCATGTGATTTTAATGAGGGGACAGATATTGCAAGGGCTAAAATAATTTAAGCACTCAATGTTGATCAATCTTGTGTAAAGTGAAAGTTGAAGGTAAACCTTCAAAGTTAAACTTTCCAACATTCAATGATTAAGTTGTGCCTCTTTGAAATACTATTGAGTCTATGTAAAAAAAGACAAAAATGATTTTTTTTAATTATGTTATGACATGTGTCAACCATTGCACTCACTTGTCACTTCATCACTCGAGTTGTTGCTACACTTTGGAGCTATATGGCGTGACCTCTACATGCATATTACTATTAGGATTCAAACAAATTTTAGTATGTTGGTAGTAATTTTTAGGATTTTTATTATGGAGTTGATGTTTAATCTTTTAGTAGCTTGTAAACTGAAAAAATGTTATGAAGTAAATAATTTGTATGTTCATGTTTTGAATCATTGTCAATATGACAAAATTACGATAGTACTGAAAATATTAGGAAGTAGATAGTTTGTATGTTCATGTTTCGAATTACGATATTATTGAGTCTTGATATATATCTTTGTTAACATTGTTGGTATCATTGATTATAAGTATGAGTCTTCTATGTGAAAACAATGTGTGGTACAAGTTGTAACTTGTATAAGTGTAGTGGATTAATAATCCAAAACTTGTGCTCTATCTTGTCTCATACAAGTTTTGTGTCCAAGTAGTAGTTATGTGGTAGGCATCACCATGTCTTAGTCGGTGGCAAATGTGAATTTGTTGTTACTTGATCAATGATGATATTAAAATTATGTTGATTTTGGACGTATATATAAGATGTCACTTCTAACTTGTAACTTGTATATACTTGGTAATAAGAATGTAGATATGCAATCTAGTGATGATATAAATATGTATGTGTATATCTTTCCTAGTATATAAATTGTGCATATATATAAACTATTCAAAAGTGTATTAGGAAATAAGTTCAATGACATAAAAAAGTAAGAGAAAATTGCATACACGTCTCTTAAATGTATTCAACAAACTAGAATAGAAAATAATATCTTTGCTAGGGTTTTCAACTGAAAACCAAAAGAAGTACAATGAAAGAAGAAGGTTAAGAAAATGAGAAGTAGAAAGAAGGCATGAAGAAATATCATGTGGTTAGTTGGAATAGGTTAACTAAGCCTAAAGAGGTTGGAGTATTGGGGTTGAGATTGAGAAACTTTGAAATTATTAATCAAGCATGGGAGTTTAGAAAACGTAATAACTCTCTTTGGTGTAAGATTTTGAGAGCTAATGCGCGCATACATACATACATACATATATATATATATATATATATATATATATATATATATATATATATATATATATATATATATATATATATATATATATATATATATATATATATATATATATATATATATATATATATACTAAATCCTGTTGAATCTTCGGTCGAACATTAATGAAAGGTTTCAATTTAGACAAATCAAGTTTGAAAGATTTTTTTTATATTTCTTTTTTTTAGAAAACCACATCAACCATGAATACTTAAGTTCTTTTTATATTTGAGATTAGATTAGTCTATAACTTTTTCGTAAGTATTTTGTGATTTTCGAATCAAACTCTAGTCTCAATAATGATAGTTTTATGGTTCGACATAGGTTTAGCATGTAGTCGGAATCTGTTCACACGCTGATCTTGTATGTTAGGATTGTTAGCATGTCAAATTGGGTTTTGCTTGTAATTCTAATTATTAAGTTAACATGTTGCCTAAGTTAGCTCAGTAGTCTATAAATAGACTAGGTCTTTCAGGTTGTCGAGAGATGTTAATTGTTGTTATTCACTTGTAATCTTTAAACCCTTATTGAGTAAGTGAATAATAAAACAGCTTTAATCGATTACAATTCTTCTTCTTCCTTCTTCTCTCTTTCGTAAAACCTAAAAGAGTTTCTTGTGTTTGTTCAAGAAACTTAATCTTTCTCATATTTTGATTTGTTCTTGATGCCATCAATTTATAATAAATTGGTGCGATGAGCGTAGAAGAGAAAATGTCGTTAACAAAGTATGAGATTGAGAATTTCACTGGTGTGAATGATTTCAGTTTATGGCGCTTGAAGATACAAGCCCTACTAGTTCAACATGATTTGTTAGAAGCGTTGAAAGGGTCAGGGAAGATGGATGTTGTCCTAACGGAGAAGGAGAAGACGACGATGATCGAGAAAGCCTACAATGCCATAATTTTGAGTCTTGGTGATAAGGTTCTCTGGCAGGTCTCAAAGGAGAAGACGATAATGAGTGTGTGGATGAAACACAGAGGTTTGTACATGACAAAATTGTTGGTCAATCGCCTCTACTTAAAACAAGCTTTGTATTCGCCCAATACGAGTGAAGACAAAGTCTTGGTTTAACAACTGGATATGTTCAATGTTGCACCCTAATTTTTGACCATAAGATCTCACCTCTTTTGCACTTTTTTTTCTCGTTTTTTCTTCTTTTTTATACGCATATTTATTATGACTAACTAGTGTGTGCAGATGCAATAATTCCAAGCGAACCAACATTCATTCTCATGGACAGTTGGGTTTGATTCAGTTTAAATATGAGGTCTTGTCGGTATCTCCTAAAAGCCTTAGTGCGTACTCATGAAAAGAAGTTGGATTTAATGTTAAGCATGGTTATTTGAGATTGATCTTCGGTTTTGTGGCATGAGGATTGACAAGTTTTGAAAATCAAGATTCATGTCCGAATGATTCGTTTCAAACGTCTCAAACCTTTTAAAAGGAGATTACAAGTTTAAGATGTAAAACAATTATAAGAATTTTGAAGTGCAAGCCAAATTCAAGGTAGGCTCATTGGTTCTTTTTGCAAGACCCCATTCTCAAGTTTTCAAGGATACAAGAAGAAGATTAAAATTCAAGCTCCTCCCAATTTAATTTTTCAAAACGTGCATACAGCAGGAGATATTTGCCGTTACGAATTACAACTCAAGGTTTTTAAAAATTATTTACAACTATACAAGGCATTGCATTTTGAAACTTTGGAAGGTTACAAGGCTTACAAGTCGGATAATAACAGACATATTAGAATTTGGTCCATTACAACTTGATTACAACTACGTGTGTCTCCCCACAGCAGGCCAAGCTCCGCTTCCTAAGTGAAAACGTGATAGCACATCGAGTTAGACACAACCAGCTCACGCCTTTCCTCATCCCGTCAACTTCGTCGTAACTACCGCGACTCACCACGTCTGCCAAGTCGCAGAGGCCCATCCATTAGGAGCTTCCACATCTGAAGTTCCCGTTGTGTTTCTTGAATGATGTGCCAAGGAGACGGTGACATATTGCGCATGATGACATTCAAGCATAGCCTTCCACGTCTTGACCATCTGCAGCACTGATAAATCAATGATTGTTATAGCCTTAAGGCTTAATCAACATATCGATAACAAAGCTTCAAGGTGATATAAATAAAATCTACATAGCCACTCTTATCCGCAACTGCAAATCCTTCACGACTGCCTTGGTCTATCACATGAGTGCCTTGATCTTTTGCAAATTGATGCCTGAGTTGGTGACATTTCCGATCATAGACCTTCCTGATGGATTCGCTAGCCTATGGATAACACATTAGGGAGTCACAAAAAGACTTGAAAACATGAAAAGGGAAGCTGGAGAATCAAGACGTTTACAAGCAAATCTACACCCTAATAATTAACAGGCTTTTAAGTAATACCTTTACTTCATCATAGAGTTTCACTCCCATGCATACAGTTTATTGGTGCTACACAGGTGTCTGCTTATGCTTCAGCTGGTGGACCTGTTACCCAAGTTATGGATAGCTTGAACAATCATGCGAACGATACGCTAAATATATTATCACGAGAGGGTCAACAGCTGAGGCAAAGCAAATTAACTGGTGGTAAACTGAATCTCAACTACGTAGATAGGTAAAATGTGAGTGATAACAGGGCAGAATTTAGCTACCTCAAAAGGAAAACATGCTTCAGAATTAGGCATTGGGGTTGTAACTTCAAGGACCGTCGTGCCATCTTTGAGATTCATTTGTATTTTCTTGTTCACCCTAGACAAGCTGCAACATCATCCATCTGAAGCTAAACCTGCCACGGTAATAAGGGATTCATCAACTCAACAATCATAGACATCAGCATTGGTTAAGCATCACATGTACACGCGAAAGTAGGAACACAAATCAGAACCTGCATATGAAATACACTACATCAAGGCTAAATAAAAGAAGAACATGTGAACATTAAGGTAGATGAAGGATTCACAAAACATTTTTTCTTTCTGGGTACAAAGTTACCAGCCACCACACGAGCTCACCTACAAAACATGGATCAAG